AATCCAAGAAAAAAAATTGTACTTTAAGACTATTTACAATGTTATCTCCGAGTTTTTATTTAAAATTGACTCAAATTTTAGTAAAAAAAATTTTTTTGGTACAAAAACACTAAATACATATTTAAAAAATGACAAACTCAAATTTAAAAGAAGCTAAAATACGATAATTAAATCTTTAAAAAAAAATTTAAAATATAATCATTGGAATTTTGAGTAAATATTTTATTCTCTTTTGATTTGATTGAAAACTAGTCTCCTTTTGATTTTAGTATAAGCTTGAGTAAAGAACTAAAACTAAAACCTGTTGTTTAAGCATGTTTTATTCAAATTTAAATTTGAATAATGATTTGATCGGTAAGAGTTGAATATGTCTTTACAAACTTGCAACAAGAGACAAAAGAATTGGCCAAAATTGACCGGTCGGATCTATTTTGAAAAAATAAATTTTATATAAATTATGGATAGATTATTTACCAAAAAAGAATTCAGAGTCAATAGAGATATTGGCAAAATTATAGTAAAATTAACAAAACAAAAAACGACAAACAAGATATAAAAAAAACCTCAAATAATACAAACAAAGGAAATAGGAATAATGAGTGCTGCCCACTTAAATAAAATGCTTTTGTATTGGGGCCATGTGAAGGCATATGATCCTATGCCAGCCAAAGGAAGCATCTGATCATGTGGTATATACAGTGTAGATCTATGTTGGACTGGTTTTTGTTGAAAAATATTATTGACCACATGTGCATTGGGTGAAAACTAATCCATAATGTTTGACCAACCTTGACAAGAAACTATATGATTTGATGATTTAATGTCTATTAAATTAACAAAGGCAGGCATTACTTATTCGACATTAGTTAATGTCTAATCCCTCATTTTCTTAACACCTAGATCAGCATCCTAGGATGGGCACAATAAGAAATAAAAGTATGGTGGTTGATAAATAAATCCACGTACATCCATTCTCATTCGATGTGAGACAAGACACATAGTATTTTAGTTTGGGTGTGAATTAATTCGTAATCTCGCTTCAAAAGCTTTATGTGAATTTTGAAGGTTCTAAGGCAACTGATAAACAAACACCAGTGTTCAGTCGTGTGTTAAATTTTTGAAGTCGACTTTGAATTTTTTCGTACTCGAATTTTTCACATTTTTGTCATGAAAACAATGAATATTAATGTTTGTGTTTTATGAACAACGTGATTGAAGAGTATCATATGGGCATATTTTTAGTTGACTAAGGGATAACAATGCATAACTTTTACTCAAATATCTACTCGTGAATAATACTCTTTTTTTTTTTTGAATAATACTCTTTGAATCTTGATGGTATCACCAAAATATTTAAGGATGAGTTGGATAACCTAGGTCATGTTGTTCAGGTCGGGAGTTCACCTCATCTATATTATTTACAGACCTCGACCTCAACTTCAACTCCACGTGTCCACATCTCGAGGAAGGTTGTGCAAAAGCTAGCTAGATCCCCCCCCACCCGGTTCTCTTTTTCTATATCATCAATCATTCACTAGACGCAAGTATGGTTACGCAATAAGGGCAACCGTTATAAGGAAGGAGCGAGAATCTCGCCTTATATCAAACAAGACCCAAGGACAGCTATAAATAAGAGGCAAAACCCTCGAAAATAAAGAGAAATCCATTATAACCTTAGAAAAGATTCTCTGTAAACTTCACACAAAGATCAATATATTCAATAGCAAGAGACTCCTTCAAGAGTGAATTAGCCGAGTTTCTGAACCGGTGAACCACTATAAACTTTCTGCTTAATTACCCATTTATCCCCAAATCCTATTTCATAAAGCTTTGGAGCTCAGACTGAACTGATCCAATTATTTAGTGTGCTTTATATTAACACCACTGTTCAATCGTATTAAGAACATCATCAAATCTAATTATTTGACCTATTTACTAATTAAATTATTGTTTTAGTTCGATTGACAATGGACCAATCCCATATTAAGTAATATTGGGACACATTACTAATGTATAGAGATAATATAGTGTCTCACATTAGTAAATTAAATTAGATCATTAAATTCATATAACATTACTCGAGCAGCAATAGCCAAAAAGTGAAATTAGATTTCTAAAAATGAACAAGCTGTCGTCTAACAAGTACAACAAAATGATCACCATTTCAAAATGAAAAACATTCATTATACAGGACTTGAGTGGATAGTTTATTTACTCGATTTTGGAACTAAAGTTGAAGTGTGAATAAGATACAATAAAATACTATTAATTTAAAAAAGAAGTGGACCTAAGTCATGATGACTCATTATATTAAGTAGCGTTAATAATATTTTTAGTCCTTATATTATGTATTTTTTATTATTTTAATTTTCATTGTATCAATTTTGTCAATTTAATTTCTAAAGTATTAAATTCACGTTACTTTAATCCCCATATAGACGAACCGTTAAGTTTTTAATGGAATTATCACGTATTAGATAAGTGATACCGTCTAAAAAAATGAGATATTGTCATTTTTTGGTCAAAAAAACTTGATGGTCTGTCTATATAGGGATCNCGACTTTGAATTTTTTCGTACTCGAATTTTTCACATTTTTGTCATGAAAACAATGAATATTAATGTTTGTGTTTTATGAACAACGTGATTGAAGAGTATCATATGGGCATATTTTTAGTTGACTAAGGGATAACAATGCATAACTTTTACTCAAATATCTACTCGTGAATAATACTCTTTTTTTTTTTTGAATAATACTCTTTGAATCTTGATGGTATCACCAAAATATTTAAGGATGAGTTGGATAACCTAGGTCATGTTGTTCAGGTCGGGAGTTCACCTCATCTATATTATTTACAGACCTCGACCTCAACTTCAACTCCACGTGTCCACATCTCGAGGAAGGTTGTGCAAAAGCTAGCTAGATCCCCCCCCACCCGGTTCTCTTTTTCTATATCATCAATCATTCACTAGACGCAAGTATGGTTACGCAATAAGGGCAACCGTTATAAGGAAGGAGCGAGAATCTCGCCTTATATCAAACAAGACCCAAGGACAGCTATAAATAAGAGGCAAAACCCTCGAAAATAAAGAGAAATCCATTATAACCTTAGAAAAGATTCTCTGTAAACTTCACACAAAGATCAATATATTCAATAGCAAGAGACTCCTTCAAGAGTGAATTAGCCGAGTTTCTGAACCGGTGAACCACTANAAATCCATTATAGCCTTAGAAAAGATTCTCTGTAAACTTCACACAAAGATCAATACATTCAGTAGCAAGAGACTCCTTCAAGAGTGAATTAGCCGAGTTTCTGAACCGGTGAACCACTATAAACTTTCTGCTTAATTACCCATTTATCCCCAAATCCTATTTCATAAAGCTTTGGAGCTCAGACTGAACTGATCCAATTATTTAGTGTGCTTTATATTAACACCACTGTTCAATCGTATTAAGAACATCATCAAATCTAATTATTTGACCTATTTACTAATTAAATTATTGTTTTAGTTCGATTGACAATGGACCAATCCCATATTAAGTAATATTGGGACACATTACTAATGTATAGAGATAATATAGTGTCTCACATTAGTAAATTAAATTAGATCATTAAATCCATATAACATTACTCGAGCAGCAATAGCCAAAAAGTGAAATTAGATTTCTAAAAATGAACAAGCTGTCGTCTAACAAGTACAACAAAATGATCACCATTTCAAAATGAAAAACATTCATTATACAGGACTTGAGTGGATAGTTTACTTACTCGATTTTGGAACTAAAGTTGAAGTCTGAATAAGATACAATAAAATACTATTAATTTAAAAAAGAAGTGGACCTAAGTCATGATGACTCATTATATTAAGTAGCGTTAATAATATTTTTAGTCCTTATATTATGTATTTTTTATTATTTTAATTTTCATTGTATCAATTTTGTCAATTTAATTTCTAAAGTATTAAAGTCACGTTACTTTAATCCCCATATAGACGAACCGTTAAGTTTTTAATGGAATTATCACGTATTAGATAAGTGATACCGTCTAAAAAAATGAGATATTGTCACTTTTTGGTCAAAAAAACTTGATGGTCTGTCTATATAGGGATCAAAATGACACAAGTTGAATACTTTAGAGACAAATTTGATAAAATTGATACAACATAAATTGACAAAAAAATACATATTTTAGAGACTAAAAATTTCATTAACCCTATTAAAATATTTTATTGTAACGTTTTGAACATCTTTAATAGCGTCACCTCAATCTACCAAACTATGTTATGCCTGTTTTATACGTTCAGATTGTTCAAACTAAGTCTATTAAGGTTAGTTCCCAACATGACAATTGGAGCAATTAAGGACAATGTGTTGGTCGAGACATCAAAGTGGAGGTTTTTTTGCGTACATTCAACATGTCTTCTAGCGGCTAGCACCATCCATGGGACCAACTATGCGTGCAAAATAACATATTTCCAGAGAATTTTCACTGGAAAACATGAGTTGATCGATCGGAGTGCTGAAGAAATCTTCCATCTCATGTTGTATGATAATAATTTTTGATATAACACGAAAATACGATTTAAAATCGACACAAAATTAACGGGTTAAGATTGACAATTTTACCTCATCCCAATATTTCTTACTCATGAATGACATGAGCTTGAATCTAAGTGTTAAATATATAAAGTGAAGTTTGTAAAAAATTATGAGAGTAAATATTCAACCCTACGATAATACCACGTTATCATTAATATTAACACGTCGAAAAAGTAAAAATTGATGGAGAATTTGTTAATGGCAATTTACAACCAAATCAGGCGTGCACTTGACAATTTGATCCAAAATATCGTGAGAAACTGTATACCTCTGGTAACATCAGGATGGTTTCCTTATGGCCAAGCACGTGCATTCATACATGAAAGTGCGTAGAGAGCAGAAAAGCGATCGCATATACGAGATTTTATAAGTTTGTTAATGTCTGACTGATAGAAAACAATAGTTTTAGAGAGAGAGAGATGAATGGGTGAATGTTTTATTTGCATCGGATCCTTCGCCGAAGTGGGCATGAAGAGTGAAGATCTCTCCTTCTCACTCCCATCCAAAACATGGGAAAGCTAAATCCAAAGGAAGTCACTAAAAAAACAACAAAGATGGTGAGTTGATTGTATTCATTATAACTTATAAGCCAACGCTATATCAACTATCTTTCTTCCCTTAGACATCTCAATCTCTAGTTTTTTTTTTTTTTCAGTTCTTGTTCTGATGATCTGTTTGTTTTAGGTGATTCTTATTCCAATTTTCATTCTCCAGCTTGCACATTTTTTCTTCTTTATGTACTCAGAATTCAACTCGTTTTCAGTCGTGGGTATGTCTGATTTTGAGTTGTTTCTCTCTGAAAAGGATCTAAACTCCATGGAATGCAACTTCTTGTCAACACCCATTTCGGAATATCAACCTTTTGTAGAGAGTGAGCTTCATCAAGAACAAGAAGAAGCAGTAGAAGCACGAGAACAGGAAGAAAAACAGGAAAAATGTGAAAATTTTCTATCTGCTTTGAAGATCAAATTGCCATCTGTAGGAGAATTCAAGGTTGACAATGACTACGATGACGACAGCGACGGGCTTAGAACTCCTACATCGCCGGAGCATAAAATTCCATTGATCTGCCCGCCAGCTCCGAGAAAGCCCAAGTCAATTCCAACGACAAAGCGAAAAGCTTCTAGTGGAAGAGTTCTTCTTGATCTCTCAAGCGAGATTGAATCATTTTTTACTCCGGCTCTTCTGGCAGATCTTGGCAGAAAGATCAAGAAAGTTAGGAAAGGGAAAGGAAAAGGGACTGTAACCTTATTGTTCACTTAGTTGTTGAATTATGTGATTTGAGCAGAAAAAATTGCACTGAAAATGTCATTCCATCAATGACAATGGTGTTGTCATATTGATTAAGGCCATTTCTTCTTCATTATGTTCTGACCTTGTCTTTCCTCTCAGTTATTCCTTGTATTTTGACTCTAGCTAGCTGGGAATTGTTTTCAATGGTGCGTTGGCTTAGGACAGATCTCATTCAAGGTGATGGAGTAAAAGGCAAGAACCAAAGTCAAGTGTATGTTGGTGCACCAAAGAATGTTGGCTTAGCAATTTAGCATTCCTACTTTGATGCACCATTCATTGTTATGTAATGCAGGTTGTGTGGTTGTTAATTACTGTTCTCAAAGATTTGATGAGACTACATCTCTCTCTCTCTCGGTCTCTCTCTCGGTGAGGGGGTTTTTCTGGAATTTTTTGCATTGACTTGATTACCATGTTGGTTGTGGTAATGAGTTGCATTTACCTTCCCAAGATGCGAACATCCTTCATCTTGGGAAAGGGTAGTGATCAAAAACAAGAGGAATATTCTCCAAAGCCAGAATTTATCAAGCAGAAAAGAATCCGAACTTCAAGGTTGTTTGCCTGCCGTTTAATACACAAATTTTCCTACTTTTAATTGATCGAGTTAAAATTGCTGTTGCTGCAATCATGCACTCTTAACTTTTCAGCCCTCTTTTAACCACCCTTTTCTCCACCAAACCCCAAAGAGAGAGAGAGAGAGAGTAGATCTGAGCACAGGTCTCTGGACTTCATGGATGAGTTAATAATACTACATAATAAAGTTTTTTCTGTTGCAGATAAATTGTAGAAAGAAGGTGCATGGCCAGCCAATCGATGGGGTAGTTTACATTGATCTTCTTATGGACTTTTTTTTGGATTCATAAAGAAATGAGTAATACTATTTAAACTTAAAAATTTGACCTAATTTGCTAACATAATGATGTGATTTAATAAAAATTATTGGATCAATATCAAGTTTCAATGTTTGAGAAAACCTACAGCGAATTCAAAGGTCACAGTAAATTAAGTAAACAAATTAAGTCAGATTTTTAAGTCCTAACAGCGTTGCTCAAAGAAATACAATTGCCAGTAGGAGTGACAAAAATTGGTCAAACACATCAAATGCTAATCGCCAAGAAAGAATCACCAACGGTGCAAGAGTAAACCAATAATTTTCTTCCAAAATTTGTAATTTCCTTAAACTATAAAAGCACAATATATATAGACTTTCCCAACCAAATAGAGGCAGTAACCCTTGAACGTGAATAGAGACTGTAAACTTTCCAATGTACTGAAGAGCCCAACTTGTCTAAGATTGCTTTNTCTCTCTCTCTCGGTGAGGGGGTTTTTCTGGAATTTTTTGCATTGACTTGATTACCATGTTGGTTGTGGTAATGAGTTGCATTTACCTTCCCAAGATGCGAACATCCTTCATCTTGGGAAAGGGTAGTGATCAAAAACAAGAGGAATATTCTCCAAAGCCAGAATTTATCAAGCAGAAAAGAATCCGAACTTCAAGGTTGTTTGCCTGCCGTTTAATACACAAATTTTCCTACTTTTAATTGATCGAGTTAAAATTGCTGTTGCTGCAATCATGCACTCTTAACTTTTCAGCCCTCTTTTAACCACCCTTTTCTCCACCAAACCCCAAAGAGAGAGAGAGAGAGAGAGAGTAGATCTGAGCACAGGTCTCTGGACTTCATGGATGAGTTAATAATACTACATAATAAAGTTTTTTCTGTTGCAGATAAATTGTAGAAAGAAGGTGCATGGCCAGCCAATCGATGGGGTAGTTTACATTGATCTTCTTATGGACTTTTTTTTGGATTCATAAAGAAATGAGTAATACTATTTAAACTTAAAAATTTGACCTAATTTGCTAACATAATGATGTGATTTAATAAAAATTATTGGATCAATATCAAGTTTCAATGTTTGAGAAAACCTACAGCGAATTCAAAGGTCACAGTAAATTAAGTAAATAAATTAAGTCAGATTTTTAAGTCTTAACAGCGTTGCTCAAAGAAATACAATTGCCAGTAGGAGTGACAAAAATTAGTCAAACACATCAAATGCTAATCGCCAAGAAAGAATCACCAACGGTGCAAGAGTAAACCAATAATTTTCTTCCAAAATTTGTAATTTCCTTAAACTATAAAAGCACAATATATATAGACTTTCCCAACCAAATAGAGGCAGTAACCCTTGAACGTGAATAGAGACTGTAAACTTTCCAATGTACTGAAGAGCCCAACTTGTCTAAGATTGCTTTACACCTTGACCTCAATTATCAGATTTGATTTGAATTGGAAAAAGAAACAGAAAACATCCAAGGTTGTACAATCAAAACAAGATGCTGGCCTCCGACGTAGCTTAAATGTATTTATATTATTAATAAAAATATTTTAACATGAAAATTTTTTAATTTTCTATTTTACCCTTATAAAAAGTTATAAAAATCATTCTATCCTTTCACAATTAAATATCTAAATTATCTATTATCTCCTTATGTATTTAAATCTCTAAATTAACTCTAACATCTCTATATCTATATCTATATACTACTAATAAAAATACCTTAAAATGAAAATTTTTTAATTCTATATTTTATCCTTATAAAAATTTATAAAGACCACTCTATCCTTTCACAATTAAATATTTAAATTATCTGTTATCTCCTTATGTATTTAAATCTCTAAATTACCTCTAACATCTCTTTTAATTATATATTCTCTCTATATAAATATTAATTTCTATGAAACTTTTTGATTGTCTATATTATCTTTAACAAATATGCATTATTATATTTTCAATAAAGTGTTCAAAAAATTCATTAATCTTAATATTACTCATCCCATGTGCAAATATAACATTATTCACATATATATTTATTTTCTTTTTTATTTAAAAATTTTAACCCTTTTATTTTTAAGATAACAAATAATTATATATATAATTTTTTAAAATTAATTTATGCTATATCAATATAATGTTTTTAGTTTACAATAAACTTATTAAGTTGTATTAAGATTTTATGTGAAAATAGTTTGTAGTGTATTCTAAAGTAACACTTGAATTTTTTAAAATTTTGATATGTTTTAAAATATATATTATAGAGTATTATATTAAATTTTATCCTAATTGACCTAAATAATTCTTAATTACAGTAAATTTTCAATATAATTAAGTAATATATTGACAATTACTTTTATTTTATTCAAGGAATTATAAGTGAAATCCTAATAGAATAAATTTCAAAAAATTTAATTTTTCAAACATTACTAGAAAATCACTCTCAATCACAAAATTCTAAAAAAAAAAAATAGAACTTTAACTATTTTTTTTCTTATAATTAGAATAATGAATTTCAGAAATATATCAAGTTTTCATAATCCTATAATAAAATATGAGCAATGAAAATTTAAGTATGATAAATTTGTGATATATTTAATTCAAATATATGTATATATATACTAATATATTTTATCAATTTTTATATACGAAAACTATTCACGTACAGCGTACTTAAACAAGTCTAAAATAAATTGAGCCCAAATAGTTTAGTTCTTTTATCTGCTATTTGTATCAAATTAGGAAAGAAAGAGTAAAAGTCTAAAGACCTTAACCTTTTTTTTTTTGGTCAGAATTACAAGAGAAGGACGACGTGGATCGAACTTATAACCTTTAAATCCAACAATGGGTCGGTGGTCATGACAAAACAAAAAAAGGAATTTGGATGTCGGTACAAAAAATTGAATTTAATTGAGCTAAACTATGTTAAAAAAATTTATTTGGCTCTAAGTGCATTTTTTTTTTAAAAAAAAACTAAAAAACTATTTATTACTACATTATTATCTCTCCCTCCCTTTCCATNGTGTTAAAAAAATTTATTTGGCTCTAAGTGCATTTTTTTTTAAAAAAAAAAACTAAAAAACTATTTATTACTACATTATTATCTCTCCCTCCCTTTCCATTACTCTCTCACTCTCTCTTCCCTTTTTTCTCTCTATCTTTCTTACATTGATAACTTATTTTTTTTCAAATATGTAAAGATTTGATTTAATTTTCATCATTCTCCTCCTATTTTCTCTCACCGTTACTCTTTCTCTCCTTATTTTCTCTCTCCTTGTATCAAGATTACAACAACACAATTACATCACTCAATTACACCAATTAGTTACANGTAAAGATTTGATTTAATTTTCATCATTCTCCTCCTATTTTCTCTCACCGTTACTCTTTCTCTCCTTATTTTCTCTCTACTTGTATCAAGATTACAACAACACAATTACATCACTCAATTACACCAATTAGTTACAATTATCGTAGAATACATCAAATAGTTAATTATGTATTATAATAAAATCAAACAGTTACTCTAAACAATTACATAAAATTACAATACCAATCTAATTTGTCATTCAATTGTTTACATAAACCAAAGAACAGTTACACCATTTAGTATCACAACATGATTACATTAATAATATACACTAAATTGATTTTATCATTACATAAAAGACTTTACCATTATACCAAATTTGGTGTATATAATTGGTATAATTATGTTGTAATACTAAATGATACAATTCTTTAGTTTATTTAAACAACTGAATTACAAATTGGGTTAGTGTTATAATTTTGTGTAATTATTTGGTATAACTATTTGATTTATTAGAACACATGAGTAACTGTTTTATGTATTATAGGACAATTATAATTGATTGATATAACTGATTAGTATAATTGTGTTGTTGTAACGTTGATCATATAAAGAGAGAGGGGGGAGAGAGAAAAAAAAATAAGGAGAGAGAGTAACAGTGAAAGAAAAATAAGGGGAACAGTGAGAGAGAGAAAAAAATAAGGGGAAGAGAGATGAAAAAATCAAATCTTTACATATTTGAGAAGAAAATAAATTATCAATGGGAGATAGAGAGAATGTAGGGGAGAGATAGGGAAAGTAAGGAGAGAGAGTGGTGGAGAGAAAATAAGCCAGAGATAGTGAGAGAGTAATGGAGAGAGAGGGAGAGAAAATAAGGGGGAGAGAGATAGAGACAATAAAAATTATGTATAATTTAAGGAAGGCTAAGTAAGTAAAAAATTAAAATGTCATTTGAATTTTTTACTTAGTCACAAGATATTTTATTAAAATTGAAGTTAATAGAATAAAATACTTATTCATACACTTCCTTTAAAGTAAGTCTAAAAAAATAAAAAAATTTGTAGCCCGATCCTCCTATATGGACTTATTTGAAAATAAGTCCGTCAAGAAAATTTATTTGGTTTTAAATTTATTTTTTGACAAATTTACTATTGTGCCTCTACCCTGTCAA